CAATGACTGACTTTTAAAATATTTGGGAGGCTTTCTAATTAATTTTATAGGTTTTGTTATACATTTGCTAACTTTCTCCTGGGGCCATGTGCTTCTCTAAACTATAATTGAGAGGTAGATGATAGGACAAGAACATTTACTGAATTGCAAAAGAAGAATATGCAATTTATGCTGAAAAATATATTCTACCTTTTTAATGCAAAGAAGAGGCATACACTAATATCAAAAGAGTAAAAATAAAGACTATATAGAGAGCACATTTATTAAAATTGAAATGCTAATAACCAATAAAAGCTCCCTTTATATACCTGTATATGAGTAGAAAAATAGTTATCTATTGAGAAATTAGCAAAATGTGCCTTAATTCCATTTCTGTACTAGGCAAAAATGTTAGCCTAGTTTACAGCAAGGTAGTCTAAAAATAACTCACTGGTTTTGCTTACTGAAACCCTCAGGTATGCATCATGTCAGAGACAGAACTGATGGCTTATATGGTTTGTTATATATGATCTAAACGTTACTTACCTCAACCTCCTGAAGTCACAGCCCCCACAGGGAGAGTGTGGAAAGAGAAGTCACATAAGTGTTTTCTTCTGCTTTTTTATTTAAATGCCTAACAAAAGTTACAATATACCAGATACTACTTCTATTGTGATACATCAATGTAGAGAGAAAACAACAGAATGAGAGGGGGAAAGGAGCGGATGAAAATAAATGATGTGATAAGTGTAGCTGAAGGGAAATAAAGACAATAAAACTACTAAACCTCAATGTTTCTTCTGTAAAGGCCAAAGAACAAGAGAGAACCATCATCCGTAATCTTTAGACCTGTTCTGCACATAGACTGACTGCATAATTGGGCTCCTATTTCTCCATGGTGTGGGGAGGACCATGTCTTCTGAGTCAATACTAGCAGCAGTCTCAATCAGGACCAGCTCCAGGCACCAGTGTAGCAAGCAGATGCCTGGGGCGGCCAACGAAGAGGGGGGCGGCACATCCGGCAGTTCGGCAGCAATTCGGTGGCGGGGCCGCCACTCCCTCTCGGAGCGAAGGACCTGCTGCCAAATTGCCGCCGTAGAATAAAGCGGCGCTAGAGCTGCCGCCGATCGCGATCGCAGCTTTTTTTTTTTTTTTGCACTGCTTGGGGCGGCAAAAACGCTAGAGCCAGCCCTGGTCTCAATGCAGTAAAGAGAGGTGATATGGTAACAGAGAAAAAGTACTGCTCAAAGTCAAGATGAAGTCACTGCAGAAACTAATGAGCAGCCATGACAATGGGTGAGAGAGTGAAAGGGATGACAGGTATTACACATACTGACCATCTTGTTACACTGTCACACACATTTGTATTTGCAATGTTTTCCCCATCCCTTCTATATGATAGAAACTTGTAAAAGAATCTCGAAGGAAACAAGAGGAAAAGATTGTGCCCTTCTTGATGCTGTCTGACCTGTTAATATGAAGGAAGCATCTAGTGAGCCGACCTAAAGCACTGTATGGGTTTCTTACAAGGACATATTGCTAACCCATTCCAGTATGGCTAAGAGAGTCCTAATCTTCCATCTTCCACCTGCTAAAGTGCATCTCTGATTTTGCAGAGCACTTGCATCAAAATGTGAAAACACCCTACTTTTCAGCCTTTTAAAAACTGCTGTAATAGTATTTTCAACACACACTATCACGTGTGTAACACCTTGATTCAATGTCCCATGTTTTGTTGCCTCATTAATTCACCATGCAACATTGTACATGAACCATTTGGAACTGACCAGCTCCCACTAAAGTCAATTGTACAACTACCGCTGACATCATCATTGGGAGCAAGGGTTGGCCCATTATGTTAACAGTGAGACAAATCTCTCTTATCCACACTGAAAATTTGGCAGGTATACCAGAGTCATAAAAGGAAGAAACTTGATATGAAATCTGGCCCTATTGAAATCAATGGGAGTTTTGTCATTGACTTCTACACTGCCAGGATTTCACCCTCTAAATGAGAGCAGTGTTTAAAATAATGACAAGGGAAAAGTTGGCTGATTGGGAAAAATAAGACCTTGCTGAACTCAACCAGGATAGTTCATACTCTGTATGAGGAGGGCTCTGGTATGTGACTTCTTATGCCAGAAGGTGTAATATCAGAAGGTCTTTCTGTGAGTTTGGGAATAATCCAGAAGTGGAGACCGTTACAAACAGTTCAGTGAGGAGGAGATGAGAGGGTTCATGTACATCGACATGCATTAAAAGCTTGAAAAAAAAGAACTAACCTGACTCATTGGTGTGAAGTCTTTCTTTGTAGTTAAAAAGGACAGTACAGAGGGAGGGAGGTCAGAAAAATAAAAGGAAATTAACTGCATGTGAAGATATGTTCTAAGAAGCTATCTAAAAATATAGCCATATAGTAGCATGGGAGAAACAACACTGCATAGTGCAGTGGGTCTGATTCTCACACTACTTTAAAATTTCAGTGGTGTTATTCTTATATTAACCCGGTATAAGCAAGAAGAGGATGAGGCCCAAACTGGCATGCACTGAGGGGCACAAACACTATGGCTGATATCAGACAAAAAGAGGCTGAGGTCAGCACTAACATAACTACTATAAGAGAGCAATTCCCACCTATTTATTCTGCGAACTATTGTCCAGTGCTGCAGGAGTCAGTTTCATCAAGCAAAGGGCTTGTCTATTTGCTGCCAATACTGAGAGTTTGCCATTCATAAAGATGAAAAACACCTTTTTCCTATAGATTACACCTTAGGACTTTGGTTAGTAGTTTTGTAAGGAAATGGAGGGAGAAAATATTAATAAGGAAAATGACAAATGGCCCATTTGTCACTAATCATAGAATCGAAGGGCCTCATCCAGCAAGGTGCTGAGAGCTGTCTGAGATACTATACTAAGCACCCTTCACTTCCATAAATAAAGAGGGAGTTGCTTAGCATTTCCCAGAATTAGGGCCCCCAAAAGAAATGGAGATTACTAAAGAAAGTTGCTGATGGTACTGCTTAAGGAGTAAGGTACTTTTTAGCATAAGTAAGGATGCCACAATGTGGCTCCTAGGCACAGTTTTACTTATTTCAATGTTTTGTTCTCCATGAAGCAAGGCAAGGCAGGGCAGGAACTGTGATCAAGCTCTGTGGTGACACAACTATAATAATAATTAATATATGGAGATATACCTATCTCATAGAGCTGGAAGGGCCGCTGAAAGATCATGGAATCCAGCCCCCTGCCTTCACTAGCAGGACCAAGTACTGATTTTTCCCCAGATCCCTAAATGGCCCCCTCAAGGATTGAACTCATAACCCTGGGTTTAGTAGGCCAATGCTCAAACTACTGAACTATCCCTACCCATTACACAGTACTGAGCCTACTTCAATCCAGTCCAAAGTGAGTAACAATAGGTGTTTTCTCTGCAAGATTTGCTTGTATTGTGCATTAGACACAGCTGAGATTCCTATAAAATCACCAGATTTTTCTCAAAATGGTCCTGTTTTGCTGCAAGAGCATTGGTAAATGTCAATTTACATTTCTGTACAGCATTGGAAGTGGATTCAGTATATTACTGAAAACAACGCTGAGTCTTGAAAGGAACGACAAAGTGTTGCATCCGCTATGGCAATTCATTGTACATTAAATATAATAGCACGTCAAAAGAAAAACAAAAACCTGATGTAAATAATCAACATGAACATGAGTCCTGGGGCAAATCTACCTTAAATGCACACACATCTGCCCAATTTTTCACAGATTTCTTTCTTTATTTTATCTGAGAAATTGAGATTTCACCTTCTGCTTAGTTTATCAGTATGTTTAATATGGTCACACCTTTCAGAGGTTAAAAGAAGCGGGGAGGGTCAAATTAACTGCACAATAGTATGTTTTCCTGAATCATGTGTGAGTGGTGCATAACCCGTTCATAAATGTTGCATGAATCAGACCTTTAATTTTCACAATTTCAGATGCATTTATACGTAGGTGCCTCCCTTCAACATTTATGAATAGCAGCTTCCCTTACTCACCTAAATAAAACAGAAATATTTTCATTTAACACAGCATCACTTTGAAACTTCTGCAAGCCTGGAATTAGCTTTTAGTATTAGCTTTCAAGAGTAATCATAGGCAGATACCGTTTAGCATTTGTTTGTATTTTGTCCTCCTATAAGAATTTTTTTTTAATGTTTTCAATTGAAATTGAATATGAGTATTTATGAAATACTGTAGGAACAAGACCAAAATCCAATACAAAAAAAAAAAAAAAATGTACCACAGGCAGCGGCAATGCCAGGTTTCCCACCCTGCACTGCCAACATGTCTCAATTGTTTTATAGAGAGTTCAGTTTTGGGCCTTTCTGCTCATACATTCAACAAAGGAGTTAGTTTATGCTTAATGTGCCAGGTGGGTAGATGGGAATTGTAATGAGGTTATCTGTGCACAAGGACCTGAGGTTAAAACTTAAAATTCGTTTCACATAGGCTATCAAAGGATAATGACCTTCTGTGAATAAACATATGGCTGTGATTTGAACTAATTACCAAAGGACTGATTGAACCAAAGCCCACTGAAGTTAATGGAAAGACTCACTTTGACTTCCCTGGGTATTGGATTAGGTCACTAGAGATAAAAAGCTGAACCATTCCAATCCCCTGAACCAGTTAGTCCCTCTTGTTAATTTAAGTCTAGGTATCTGATGAATGAAATGGTAGCTACCCTTACAACCTATGTACCACTGACATGTTCATCTTTATTTTTTTTAATACAAACAGCTTTTTAAGCTAATTTGGATTAATGCAGCCTGAGTGTTCTCATAGTTCAAAATTAAAATTAAATGTTTAAATATGTAGCTAGCTATCACTGGACAAAACAAACACTTGCATTTATTATAATGAAACATTTATTGCATTTTAGCAATAAAAAAATCTACCTTTTTTATCTTCTAACCTTATCTTTTACACCCACATTGTAGTTATATGTATAAATACATCCTTTTGATCTAGTGGGCATACATTATAAAAGGGCAGGCAGTTTCTTATGCACTTTACTCAGGTCATTTCAGTATTTTGTCTTCCTTTTCAGATCTTGACCCATAATCTGATATCCTTCTTTAATACTAGAGGCCAAAATATGGTGGCGGGTAGAAGTCAACAGGCACTGGCAGGCCAGAGGGTTAAGACAGATGGCTTCTGTAACAAGACTAAACAGATACTGTTGCATTAGAAGTTATTTTGGAACAAGATAATTTGTCATGGAGGACCTTAAAGTTTAACTCTACCTGACCCATACTGTCCATAGTTACAGTTGGAATGGACTCATGTGCATGGAGTCGCTGTCTCTGAAATCTAAAATTCTCATCACTAAAATAAACAAACAAACAAACTGTCGATTGTAATTTGTCTGGAATCTTGGCTTTGGCAAATTTCTGTTCTCATCCAATATTGTGACTGATCATTATTACTACAAAACCTGCCTGTAACTTGACAAAATACTTGTAATGGAAGTAAAAAACATTGACGTCTGAGCCATATTTCATATTAAATATTAGTTTCCCTTTCTGAAGAATCATTGAGTACTTTGTCAGCCCTGTTGGCAGCCTCCTCATTCTCATTGTTGGTCAAAGGTTCTGCTTCCTTGGGATCAGCATTCTTTAATGCTTTCTGTTTTTCTTCTTCTAACTTCTTCTCTTTTGCCAAAAGCCTGTAGTTGATGGCATTGCCGATGAACAACCAAATACTTGCCACAATCACAATCGATCCGCAGACAATGTACATGTATTTATATTCTCCAGTTATATCCACTAACCAACCTGAAAGACAGAAACAATACAAAACCACACTTGAAAATATTCCAACTGTAGACAGAAATAAATTCCAGGTCCTTCCCACAGGTATTATCAATAAATGTCCTGCATTAAAAGTATTTTCAACACTATAAAAGTTGTCCTAGATTGGGCATTTTCACAGACAGATGTACAGTGGAGCTGTAACAAATTTTATATTAGTTAGACTGGCAGCTATTGCATTCATTATCTGTAGTAAAATAATTGAGACTAAGGAAGTAGAGTCTAGTCAACAATAGTAGGTTGTATAATTTTCTATTCAGATCTGTCTTTTTTTCCCCCTCCTCCTAATGTCTTTCTACTGTTGTTTTGGAATGGATGTCTAGCACTCAGTGGGGCTGCTTGCAGACAAGAGGCTGGAAAGGTGTCTGCCTTCTCAGCTGCTGTCACTATGTCTCATTGTGAAGCTGCTATTTGTGCTCCACTTATTCTGTCCCCAAAGACAGAATTTTTCACCTGGGTGTGCCGACACCACTGTCATGAAAACTGAGTTTCAAACTCTGAAAACTGAGTTTCAAACTTGTATGGGTAATGCTTACTCCCCCAGATGGATCAGCAGCAGCGAAGACCAAACGTGGGACCTCTGTATCTTAACACACGAGCTTCTACCATCTGAGCTAAAGGAACTTGCTCTTTTAGTCGAGGTTGTATCAGACTTGTCAATCTCTAGTTGACCTTGCCACTACCAGAAGGGGAGTGCCACAATGAGCAAGCATGACTTACATTCATAAGCCATTTGGATCAAAGACTGACTACCTTTTCACATTGAGTCATTCTTGTAATTCTGTTGCATTTTCTAAACTCTAAATTAAAAGACAGGCTCCCAATACAGCAAAGCACATAAACACATAATTTAAGCACGAGTAGTCTTATTGAAGTCAATGGGATGATTAACATAATTTAAGTATGTGCTTAAATGCTTTGCTGTATTGGGGCCATAATACTGACATACCAACTAGACCTGGTCAAAACTTGGAATTTCTGTTTTGTGGGAAACTCCAACATTTAAAAACAAATTTTCCAAATCAGAATAAAGTTGAAAAATTTCCAATATCCTGCTAAATGAAATTTCGGGGGGGGGGAGGGGAGTTTTGAGTCAATTTAAAGGTTTAGTTTCTATATTGATTAATCTATATATTTATAATTTTTGTATATTTTAAAATTGTGTTTTAATAATTTTTATAATATAACTTGCTAGAAAACAATAGAATATATATAATTTCAAAAAAAAATTAAATGTTTCATTCTGATAAGGTCAAAATGTTTGACTTTATCAAAATGCTTCATTTAATTTTTTTCCATTGGAAAAGTGTTCCACCTGAAATTTTTTGACCTGCTTAAATATTAAATTTAAATACATTTTTAAAGCATTTAAAAGCAGTAATATTTTATCTAATGCAATAAAACCTTTGAAGATAATGCACAGTGGTTACCCTTTATAAAGTTAGTAGTTTTGCCTTAAATAAATAGAAACGTTTACCTCAGTATTGGCAGTATTCCCTATGCTTACTACTTAGGAATATTAAAATAATTTATATATTGAGATACTAGTAATATAGTACTATAAAAATATTGATATATTGTTGCAACTGAGGTAGATAATCCAGGAAATTTGTTAGTTTTTAATAGTGCCAGTCTCAAAGAATTATTTACAAAAATTAACTTAATGTTCAAGCATGAGATCATCATTATACTTTAATAGACCTGAACAGATCAAAACTGGAATATGAGCTTTTCAATGTATTCAAGTAGAGAAATTAACAAAGGTGACCTGATTATATCCAAAATGTATCCCTTTAAAAAAATCCACATAACAAATATAAGAAAAATAAATAGCTGTATACTTTATCACTACATTAATATTAGATTTAATATTAATATAGGTTTCAATGTTTCAGGTGACTGGATTTTATTAGTCGTAGACACAGTCCCTCCACTAGGTGGCATTCCAAGTGTCTGTGTTAGAGGAATCTATTGTATTCCAACATCTATGAAGATAAGATGAGATCAGATTCATTTGGAATGACTTGTATAAATATTAATTTCAATAAAATAAAGTGTATAAGTTATAATCAGCTGGCATTATTTAAATTTTCATTAACAAATAAGTTCAACAGATGTTATTTTAGTACAAATTATGGCCTGGGTCATGCAAACATTTACCTATATAACTTTACCCACATGAGTAGACCCATTGACTTCAATGGGAGTACTCCTGTGTGTAGTATTGAGCGTCTGTGTAAGAGTTTGCAGTACTAGAATCTACATTTATAATTCACATCTATAAAATCTAATATTGTTTAGTTCAAAAGTATATATTTGTATATATTTAGTTCAAATTAATATTTGGTCAGGGATTTTACAGTTGGATTTTGGGCACCTAATTCCCTAAAACTCTTTTGAAAATCCCAGCTCTTTTATCAGAATTCTGGAGGTGATCAGTATATGAAAATTAACTAACACTGTCTTTTCATAACGAGGGACAATATTCTGCTTATGCTCTGAAGGGCAACATCCATCAGAGCCCTCTTGTGCATGCACTTTACTTAGCCATGTTGTGAGAATCAATCTTATTTCAATAATCTCCCTTGTGCTTGGGATTAAACCAGTAAGGTAGTAAAGTAGCATGTGGGGAGCTTTAAAATGACAATTTATATATGTATCATTTTATTTTTAAGCAGCCACTAGTTTGGCAGCCATTGGTTAGGGAAATTAGGAACCATTTTGTGAAGTAGCACCTACAGAAGTAGCTTCTTTGCTATGGGGAATGAAGTGGAGTCCCATGAATGTAGCCAATTTTAGAGAGAGGGAGCTGTGCTGACCAGGAGGTAGTGGAAGCACCACTGTGGAAGAGATGCTCTCAGCACTGCTAACTGCCTAGTAAGGCACATGAAAAATAGGACTGGGTGGCTAGCACTGAGAGCAAATACCATCTTACCATATCTTATCTATGTATGTATCTCTACTTATATAGCGACATACATAGCCATGATGGCCATACACCATATACACACAGGCAATATAAATCTGCATATAAATCTAAATCTGTGATATGCCAAAAAAAAAAGTAATGTTACAAAAGTAAATTCAAAAGAACAAGCGGTGAAAACATGACAGTTCTTGTGGCAACATTAACTAACATGCGCACGTTTAATATTAGATAAATATAAATAATAACTTAAATATTCACAGCCAGCCCAGTGGCATCGGAAAGGATAATAAAAAGGAATCCTTACCTCCTAGAGGGGGGCCTAGGAGAACAGGGCAGCACTCCACAATTGTGACAAGTCCCACAGCACTGGAAAACCTGGCTGCACCAACGAGATCCATCAACGACTCAAAAAGGATACTGCTAACCATTCCAAAAGCAAATCCAAAAAGTACAGCATATACCACCAGGCCTGTATAGTCCTCTGCCAGTGGGCACATGATATGACAGATGCCATTGTACAAGACAGCAAAACTAAAGAAGTACTGGATTTTTGGCCGGATGTATTTGGAGTTTGCTACAAGTCCCATTGAAGGCCTAGCAAACATGTCTACAAAAGCTAGAATAGAGAGCAAAAAAGCAGCAGAATATTCATCAATTCCCTTGTGTTTGGCATAAGGAGCCAAGAATACTATTGGGGCAAAGAAGCCAACAAACATAATAACATTTCCTGACAAATAAACCAGAAACCCTCTGTGTTTAAAGAGGGACAGATCTAAGTATTTATTCACAGTTTGCCAGAATGACTTCTTCTTGTTATTCATGTGTAAGGCTGAATCTCCTGCTCCCTTCTCAACATCTTTTTTCACAGGAGGGACTGGTTTTGGTCCAACAGGTCTCATAAGTGACCCGGCCACAATGCAGTTCAAAAGAAGTCCTCCCAGAATGAGAAAGCTTCCTTTCCATCCAAATGCATTAAAGAGGAATTGATTGAGAGGTGCCAGTGTGCTTAGAAACACTGGACTTCCAGCCATGGCCAGTCCATTAGCAATGGGCCGCTTCTTATAGAAATACTTGCCAATCATAGTCAAGGAAGGCTGCAAGTTGAAGGCTAAGCCAAGACCTAAACAACAAAAGAGCACAGAGTTATTGCATGTAATACATTGAAAACCCTTCACGATAAGCAGACAAAATCATTCAAAAAAGCTAAAATGCCATTCAGAAATTCCCACTGAAGATTAAACATTATCAGCACTGGAAAATGAAATGTGGTTTCACTGATTTCCACACATTTTAATGTCACCACTATGTCACACTCGAGTTCTGTCATTTCCTTGTATTGCGTTGCAATAAAAATAAATACTCATAGTAATGTTTGAGCAATTATATAGACAATGGAGTGACAAAGGAACAATGGTATCAAGACCTTGAATACACCATTTTGTATTTCACTAAGCTGCAACACAATTCTCTCCTGGTTCATTTCACAAAAGTTATTAAATGTCACCTCATCTACAAAAGAGAGCACAATATATTTAAAAGGAGAAATCCACTGGCTTTTATCCCTCTATCCCTTTTAAAGGTTGAACATGTATCCAAAGTAAGATGTAAAATGATTAATAAATAAAGATTTTGCAGGAAATCCAGCCCCACATCCACAGCTGTGGAGGTTCTGGTAGTGGAATCACTGGTTAAGTGGGAATTGCACTGGGGTGGGAAAGGGGCTGTGTGGGGATGCACAACCCCAGATCCCTGCACAGCAGGGCACAGAGGTGAGGCAGAGTTGGGCCAGATGTGCAGTCAGAGGATCCACCTGTGGTCCTTCTCCTTGGGTGGGGATACAATAGAGCTGCAGAGTTTTAGTAGCAATGCACCCGCTATGTAGTCTCAGAGGAAGGATTCCTTCCCTCTTCTCCCATGGGCAAACGTAGTGCCTAGCTCACTCCTTGGGCTAGGTTGTGGGTCCCTGCATTTGGCTCTTAAAAAGTAGAGACGTGAGGTCTTAAATAAAACAAAACAAACAAGAAACCCACCACACTCAGTAAGAAAGGGTTCTTTCAAAATGATTAACTTCTACTCAAGTCAATTACAGATAAACATAAGCTTTGATGTAGTGACAGAATAAGATCTCATTTGTATATTCCATGCTTCTGTATGACCTCTAATCTCACCTTCTTTCTTTATTCAAAAGAGATGCTTTAAAAAAATTAGAATCCCTTTAGTAGTATGGTAATTTAATCTAGTGGCCTTATTATCACTTTAATTCCCACCCTTTGATCAGTTCTAGAGCTTTGGGGATTTAGCATTTGTTTTCAGACAGGAATATTTTTTATTCTGGGGACAGGTGGACCCTGCCCAGCATACTATTTTGCTGGATATGGATATATATATTTTGTGAGCCTACAGAAGCTTAGTATTCGAGTTTGCATATCTGCTAGACCTGTACTCATCTCTGCTATTTTATTCAAAGTATGATATGATTGAAGGCTAAAAAAAAAATCAAAGCAAAACCCAATACAAATGACTCTAATAAGTGCTGTCATGAGTCAATCAATTCCAGTATTGTAATTATAGTGCAGTACAGTATGGCAAATACATAGGGCATTTATTGAATAAAATAATCAGAGGTTCATGAAATATCCCAAGCAGTAATTTAATATCCTAAAAATCAATTTAAATGAGTACAGTTTAGGATAGCTGAAATTAACTGGACTCGTTACCATTTTTGAACTAGTTACTTACCTCCAACAATTCCTACACATATGTAAAGCTCCAGGACACTATTGCAGAAAGAGGAAGTAATCATTCCAAATGAACACAATACACCTCCTGCCATCATCACTGGCCGGCAACCATATTTGTTCACCAAGACACTGCTTATGGGACCTAATGGCAGGAAAAGGATAAATTATCCATCATGCAGTGATAAATATATTTGCGGTTGAGTGTTTTCAGTGACTAAAAGTACCTCCCTGTGAGTCTGACAACACAAGAACTTACATACTAGAAGTCCAAAGGACTACTCACCCTTCCTGGGAGTATCCTGTGGTCATGGAAGTGGATCAAAGGATGTAAGACATGAGTGCAGCAAGCTTGTTAATTACAGTTCTCAGAGAACCAACAACGGGCCCAGTCAATATACGTTTTGGGTATGCAAGAAATGGAGGATTAGGCCCACTGTCTGCAGTCTAGTTCAGAATTTCAAACGGAAGGAAGTTGTTTAATCAAAACTATAGTTAACAGAGCAGAAGAGATCTCTAAATGAGTCAGATTACAACATCTTTTGATAGAATGAAAGCTCTTTCTGAACTCCCTATAACGGCTGCTGTTGACTAGGACAACATACTTATGTCAATGGGACTACTCACTTGCTTAAGGTGTTGAAGTGGAGCATAAATAACTGACAGCTGAGATCTATTTTCCTTGTCCAGATCTGAATGAGATAATGGACAATATCATTCTGTTCTGTAGTCTGAGCCTTCTGAAGTATGCTTGGTATAATGGTCCTAGAAACTGAAAATATGGCTACAAACCTGGTTTTTAGTTTCAAATGAAATTAATTCCAGTGTAATTTTGTCCATCCCAAGCAAAGAACCAGCATGTAATCTGTCATGATGTGCACTGTATGTTCTTTAAAGGCCCACAACAGGAATAGATGGTGTGTGGCATATCAAGATTAAGAAGCTGTCAGAGCTGCTTGAGGAAGCTTGCACTACACCTGATTGTACTATATGTGGCCCTAACCAACATTAACAGCTTTACTTTTGTAAGCACTATATTCACTCCATTTAAAAAACATTGTGTGTGTGTGGGGGGCAGGGGTTAGATTTAGAACTGGTGATAAAAGAGACCAGATATAAAGTGAAATGTCAAGCATTACATTTGGTTTTATTGCAAATCATTCTGGTTCCTACTGTGTATTGGGTCCAGTACAAATTTCCCTTAATAAACACCTAAAGAAATATACATCAGCATTTTCATTGGCAACACAAATCAAGTTCAACAAAATTGGAGATATGCATTGTTTGCAATATGTCCTAGTTTGGGTCCAAATGTTTGATCTATCTTAAAACTGATACTATTAGTGATGGGTTAGGCCCATACCATGCCATCAACATTTTAAGCATAAGTCTCAATTGAATCTGATGGAAGCAGGTTGACCAGATAGCAAGTGAGAAAAATCAGGACAGAGGTGGGGGTAATAGGCACCTACATAAGACAAAGCCCCCAATACCGGGACTGTGCCTATAAAATCAGGACATCTGGTCGCCCCAGATCAGTGGTTTTCAAACTTTTTTCCTGGGGACCCAATTGAAGAAAATTGTTGATGCCCGCGACCCAACGGAGCTGGAGCAGAGGGGTTTGGGGTGTGAGAGGGGCTCATGGTTGGGGCAGAGGGTTGGGGTGCATGGGAGAGGACTGCAGGGTGGGGCCAGGAATGAGGGGCTCAGGGTGAGGAAGGGAGCGCTGGGCTAGGGTAGGGGGTTGGGGTACAGGAGGGGGTCAGGGCTCTGGGCTAGGGGTTCAGGTTCTGGAGTGGGGCTGGGGATGAGGGCTTTGGGATGCAGGAAGGGGTTCCGGGTTGGGGGAGGGCTCAGGGCTGGGGCAGAGGGTTGGGGTGTGGGAGGGGGTCAGGGCTCTGGGCTGGGGGTTCAGATTCTGGGGTGGGGCCGGGGATGAGGGGTTTGGGGTGCAGGAAGGGGTTCCAGGTTTGGGGGGCTCAGGGGATTGGGGCGCAGGGTTGGGGCACGGACTTACCTCCTGGTCAGTGGCGCAGCCAGGGTGCAGAGGCAGGCTTCCCGCCTGTCCTGGAACTGCGGACCGCGCTGCATCCCGGAAGCGGTCAGCAATGAGTCCCACTCCTAGGCGGAGGTGCGCAAGTGGCTTAGTGTGACTCTCGCCTGCAGGCAGTACCCTGCCAGCTCCTAGAAGATGGACCCACTGCTGGCGGCTTCTGGGGCACAGCGCAGTGTCGGAAAAGGTAGGCACTAGCCTGCTGTAGCTGGGCAGCACCGCCAACAGGACTTTTAACATCCCGGTTGGCAGAGCTGACCAGAGCAAGGCAATCCAGTGCCTGATATGCTGCGACCCAGTACTGGGTCACGACCCACAGATTGAAAAACACTGCCCTAGATGGAAGTTCAGTTTAAAAATCAATGGCATGATACAGTCCTTAGTTTGGTTAAACACACTGAAGTCTGGATACTTTCCAAAAGGTTTCTAGCACAGTTTTCAAATGATTTGGATGATAGGCCTTCTCATGAGATATTCAATACTTTTCATTTCTGGTCAGGTCAGAAATACTTTGGGAACAGTTTCCTATGTGATAGATTGGCATGTCTTCTTTCAGCACTAACCATAAAAAGAATTACTGAGAAGCATGGACATGAGTTTGAGAACTCAAACTCAACGCTTTGACCAGATACGTCTTGCATTGTGACCTGAAGCTTACTGAATTTATGCTCTCATGAACCATGATCTAACCATGAAGGTTCCTATAGAGAACATCCTTTTGCCAGTCCTGGGATGTACAACTCCAGGAAAGAAACATTGTGGCACTCTGTATCTCAAAGCAGCACCCTGAAACCCCCATATTCACTGCTGTTATGTAATTATGATATGTTTTGTACAAAGTATGCCTCGTGAGGTATCATCTTAAAAGTCTTGATCTGTTGAACATTAATATCATGTTGGATTGCATGTGCTATCATTGAATGTGAAGTTTTATGACGTTTTGCTATGTGTGTGTTACTGAAATATGTTGTGAGGTTGGGAACGCCTACAACCAGCCTTTCAGGTACTACAATGGAGTAGCCAGACATGCTGATGGCCTATTAAAGGGAAATTCACTTGCCCAAAGGCCATCCCAGAAGACTTTTCAGAAAGAGCATTTAGACAATGGAGGCTGCTTGACCAATGGGGGCGGACCTCCACGTCACAAGCATAGATCGTTCCAGCAAGCTGGAAGAAACTATAAAGAGGGGAAGTGACATCATGACTTTACTTTTATTTATTAGATAACCAACTTTGACTTCTATGCTTACTACTTATAATCACTAAAAATCTACCTTTCTGTAGTTAATAAATCTGTTTTCCATTTTACCTAAAACAGTGTGTTTTGGTTGAAGCGGTTGGGCAATATCAGCTCAGATTACAAAGGTGAGTGTGTGTCCTCTCCATATTGACTGGGTAATAAACTTACACTGGTCAGGCTTCTAACAAGGACAATATGGCATATTCCAAGGTTGCTAGGCTGGGGAACTGGAGGGAATTGGCTGGAGCCTCTCTATTGTTGGTTTATGAGTGGCTGGGAGAAGCACTCATGTAACTCAGTTGGGTGTGTCCTGCCTGTGGAGGTCTGTCAGTGCAGTACCTGCCAGAGGTTTGTCACTTGTCACAGCATCACAGTGTGAGAGGGATACCCCAAGTTGGTGAGACAGAGGGCTCAGCAGTCCCACAGTTCAGGTTGCACCTCAGGAACCCCATCACAACCATCATGCTAGGAGAGAGGGGGAGAGGTGAGCACTCAGAGAGCTGGGTCCCAAGCCATTTAAAGCTCATACATTATAAACAACACCTTGAGCTGCATGTAGAGGTGTACAAGATTATGGAATATTGGAGTTATGGACTTAAAGCAATTTGGACCTCTCCTCATGAGAGGAAGAAGAAGAAGAATCAGGAATAGGGGATGGGTTCGAAGAGTCATGGAAGAATGGGTGGGGAGAGGATAAGCAAAGGATTGGGGGTACACATACTGGAGTGTTGAGTGTTGGAAGGATATGGGGACAGCACCCGAGAGACGTTTCAGTACAACATATAATTAAATTGTTGACTCAGATTTATTAATCCACTCACCAAAAAGGCACCTAGGCACCACTGCCGACTATTTAAAAGCACAACCAAACATGAAGACAAAACCTGAATAGCCTTCACCATACACCACAGAAACTAATTAAAGAAAATAATTAGGCAAATACCCCCACCCTCCCTAAAAATAACCCTTAAAACAACAGTCTTCATCCCAGAAGTCCCACAACAAAAAGTGTCCTGAAGATGAACATACTGGGGCTTTTTTTTTTCAGAATGGGAAAGTCCTGCCAGCATCTCCCTGGAAACTCTAGCTCAAGTATCTTTACTGGCATGTGCTACAGGTGAAGCTTCATGGGGAGGCTAGCCCCCTACCCTGCTTCGTCCAGTTGAGGCCATGCCTCTTCCAGCCAAGGCCACGCCCTGCTTGCTGCTCTCAGCCCTCCACTCCCCCCTCCCCCATGGCGGAGAGCTAGGTTGGAGCCACAGGAGGGGGGCTGAGAGCTCGGTCCTGGCTAGGGTTGAGCTCTCAGCCTCAGCTGGGATCATGAAGGAGCTCTCAGCCCTGGCTGGAGATCTGAGCCTGGAGCCCCTCTCCCATTCTGTCCCTTCCACCTGCACACACCCCCAAGGCCACACCCCATTCCATCCCTTCCCCAGTGGCCCTGCCCCCATTACACCTCCCACTCTGCCTCTTCCACCCCGAGGCCCCACTCCCTACTTGCTCCTCTCCCGCACCCCCTGCTATGGCCCTGAGACCAGAAAAGCTCTGTGCCCCCACCCTGGCCCCGGGGCCATGGCGGCGGGAGATTTTTCTGGGGGCTCCAAATCCGCCACTACCCTCCTCCCCCAGCCTTCATTACGTGCCGCCCATGTATACTGGCCTTAAATTATGGCAGTAATGCATGGGGAAATAAATATTTCATAAGTAGAGAGACAAGGTACTCGGAACATCACTTTCCTAGATCTGAAGAAGAGCTCTATGTGACTCAAAAGCTTGTCTCTCTCTCTCATCAACAGAAGTTAGTTCAATCAAAGATATTATCTCACCCACTCTGTCTCTCTAATATCCTGGGACC